GGAGTGATTTCTCGCTTTCTGTCTCTATGTCTCTGTCTGTCTGGTGAGCGCACACGCCCTATAGCAAAAAACCTCCCCCCCCCAAAAAAAAATCTACAAATAGATCCACCATATGATCCAGCAACCCCATTCCTTGGTATCTACCCAAAAGACAGAAGAATCCTTCATTGGAAAAGTGCTTGCACATTGATGTTTATTGCAGCACTATTCACGATTGCTAAGACATGGAACCAACCCAAATGCCCCATATGGATGAATGGATTGAAAAACTGTGGCACATGTACTCTATGGAATACTATTCAGCTATATAAAAAAAAAAAGACCCTGGCAGTTGATAGAAAGTGATCGAATATGGAAGATTTATTGATGAGTGAAGCAAGCCAGGTTATGAAAGAACATACATATTGTATATATCAACTTAATATATACTTACTATCTGTACTCTATGGTAGAGATTGAAATACTAGAGGACATAAAAGTAGTGAAAATAGTTATGGACGCTGAAGACAGTGTGGAATGAGGAAGGGGCAGGGAGAAGGAAAATGTATAGAGAAAGAAAGCAGGAGAAAAAATAGAGGCATGACATTTGTGGGACACAGAAATGGTTTATTACCTGTTGATGATAATACGTATAGTATTCTCAACTGGACTGGTCTGAGAAGTATTTCATGTTAGTACATATTCTTTACAAGCCAAATGACATATAGTGATCGAATGTTTAAAAAGAAAAAAGAACAATAAAAATTAAAAAAAAAAAAAAAGCTATTTTCTGATAAAAAAAAAACTAAAAAAAAATGATGAAAATGAGAGAAGGCATACAGGGGGTAAATGGGAGGACTCTGTGTGTGTGTGTGTGTGTGTGTGTGTGTGTGTGTGTGTGTTAGCTCTTAGAGGCCTTTATGAAATCTGGCAGGGGAACAACTATATTTTCCCACAGGCTTTTTTGGCCCCCTCCGCCTCTGTGTCCTGCGTAGATGTCAGCACCCATTCCAGTGCTCAGTGACCGTTGATCTGTTTGTCTTTCTATCCTTCCAGAGCATGAGTTGCTGGTGCGTGGGGCCTGGGCCTTAGACATCTTTGTATTTCAAGTGCTTGGCCCACTGCAAGCTCTCCGTCATGTCTGAGGAGTGGAGAATCTGTGAGCTCCTGAGTGAAAGAGGAGGGTGGGACTGGGGGAAAGAGCAAAGAGCTAAGTTTGCTCAAGTGCAGACTTAGCGGCAGCCTAGAAGTAGACCTAAAGATGACCGACATTGGTCATAAGAATGGGTGAGGGGACACAAGCCAGCATAAGGTAAAGTAGTATGCTGGAGCACAAGACCTGTGCTTAGATTTTGGCTTGACCACTTACTCACTCTAAGACTGTAGGCAACTTCCTTAACTTCCCTGAACTCATTATAAAAATGAGAAAATAGTAGTATTCACCTCCTACAATCCTTGTGAGTTTTAATTACAATAACATCTGGAAAGTGTTTAGCACAAAGTTTGGCAAATAGCAAGCTCTCAATAAATGTCAGCTCTGAGTAACCATATTTGGCTGTAGTGCCTGCTCTCTGGTAGCCAAGCAGAGCTGATGGCATGCAAAAGTCTAAGGTGTTCCTATGTCCAGGTATGATTATGCTGAAACTGGGGTACAGTTTCAGGAAGGACAGGAAGTAGCCAGTGTGTTCTGCCTGATTTCTGGACCAGTATTCAGGAAAGAAATAAAGGCAAAACATACACACACACCTTATAGTTAATAAACGTCACACTGACACTATCTGGCCAATGAAACGCAAAAGGCTTATTATTGCAGTAGCAGACTAAGCCACCCACGGGACTAAGGAATGGGTTCAGTTCTGACTACCTCGTGGAAAACCAACCACTATGATTTTAGATAATGAAGCCACAGAGAAATCCTGAGACTTCCAAAAATCAACCAATCTTTTTTTTTTCCAAATTATATAACTCTTAATTTAATTTTGAACAGTATCTGTCCAAAAGACTAAATCATGTCTCCTCCCGTGAAATAATTAGCCTGGAAAACCTCAATGTGGGCAATTATGTTACTGTATATTTTTATGTGGTTCTAAGAGCAATGTTTTTCATAGCAAGCCTCAGCAACTGCAAGTACGCACATACACTGTTCTGTTTCCAGTACCTATACCCAGCAGAACAGGGAAAAAAATAGAGGATCTTTTATATTTTGGTAAACTTAATCCTCCAAGCATCTAATCTAGCTCTGATTTTGACCTGATACCTTGCCTGGAAGACGAGACCCTACTGCCACTTGAGTTTGAATACCTCCTAAAAGACCTTAAATTCAAGCAGGAAAAAGGCTTAGCTCCTTGTTACTTACTGGTAGAGATTTTTCACCGTCTGTTCTGTGCTAGTCAAGCTGAAACATGGTCCTTCTCTCTTCGGGTCACCAGCCTCTCCTCGGCAGAAGCCCACCCGAGCTGGAAGCTGCAGCTGGACATTGTAAGACTCTTTGGGGCGGGTTCCAAAGAACTGAAGGCCATTAGCAGGGTAAAGAAAGATGGCGTAGGTATCAGACTCATCAGATGCCAAGACTGCCTGGAAAGTGTTCAGCTGTGAGGAGGAAAGAAAAAAAATCCTTAAAAAAACAAACAAAAGAAAAAGCAGAATGCAAGCAAAGGATCAGAAAGTACAAAGGAGTCTTCTCCCTTCTCAGGATTTTTCCAAAATGTTTTTAAAAATAATCTTTTAAAAACTTTCCTCTATAAGTTACAAATATAATCTTGTAAGTGATACTATTTATTACTATATGCATATTTACTAATTTCAATTAACAGTTGAAAGATGTAAAGGTAAAACCAAAGATTTATATATATATATACACACACACACACACACACACACACATATATATATATTTTTTTTTTGAGAGAGAGAGAGACTTCTGCTATAGGGAGCATGAGCTCACTGGAGAGACAGAGAGACGAAAGCAAGAAATCACTACCCCCACCCCCAGAGGAGATGGCCACTCCACAATCCCTTCTCCTCCATTCTCCTCTCAGGAATTTGGGCATGCATGCACACGCTCCTGGCATGAGTTTTAATCTGCCAGGTCTGGGACTCAAACATGATTAATTGACGTAGGAGACCAGCAGTGTAACCATTACACCATCTGCTGGTCCCAATTCCACTAGCTTTTCATCCAACTATTTAATAGTCCCCATTCCTACCAGGTACTTTGATGCCTCTATCCTTTCTCCCATTTACCTGTGCCTAGAAACCCTTCTAACATTCAAATGCTGCTCCTCTGAGATGTTTTGTGATTCCCAGAAGAATCACAAGGCATCTTCAAAAAATTTACAGAAAATGTATATTATGAAAAAATTATGCATGAACTTCAAAACTTTTGCACCAAAATAAACGTGTGCTTTAATGCCATTTGTCCAGAAGCTTTCTGAAGTCCCCTTGTATTTCCACTCTCTGATACTCTATTAACACCCATGAAAGTGTTTCTAGTTAGTATTCACCTTGTTTTGCTTGGTTAGCTGTTTATGTGTTGCAAACTCCATTTATTTATTCATTTGTACGTTAATTCAAACCACCGAGTGTTACTGAGCACTCGACCTTATGCTTGGTGTTGCAGATGCAGGAGCAGAGGACAGAGAGACTGTCTGGGAGAGGTTCCCAGTTTAGGAGAGGGAAAAAGCCATGGCTGGATTGTAGGAGAGCTGTTAGGGAAGGTGGAAGAGGCCACAGAGGAGAGGGTGCACCTCTGGTCTTAGCACTGGGGTTAGGAGGTGTCAGAGAGGCAGCCTGTGAATGAGAATAAACACTGCAGGGAGAAAGCAGACAGACAGAGACAGAGAGAGAGCAAGAGCCTGAACTAGCCACAAACCCAACAGCCAAGTCCTTAAGGACTCATTCCTGAGTATCCAATTTACTCCTGCATTTTGAGTAAGGTGTGACTATAGCCTTTGCTTTCACCCAGGTTTCTGCCCCACCCTGGCCCCTTGAAAGACTTGTTAAAGGTGCTGGATTATCATAAAAAGATGTTACACTACTGAGGACTCTGACACTACTTTCCTCACTAAATCACACCCCTTCTACAATTTATTAGAGAAGTGTGTAAGTCCCAGACTGGGCGGCTTGCTTTCTCACTTTCTCTCTCTCTCTCTCTCTCTCTCTCTCTCTCTCTCTCTCTCTCTCTCTCACTTTGTCGCTCCCTGGTCAAATGGAAAGAAAGAAAGAGAGAGAGAGAGAGAGAGAGAGAGAGAAAGAAAGTTAGTTAAATAAAATTTTTTATAAAAAGAAGTGTGTGTTTTAGAAGCCTACTTCATAAATAATGTGACTCTCTAGAAACATTCCTTACTGGTATTATGACTCCTCTTTTTGTTAGACAAAATTAGACACAGAGAACACACATTTCACTAAATGAAACAGTGAGGAAGGAGCATGTTTTTTCTTGTATTCCGTCTTATTCCTCCTCTACATGCTGTTCTAGCTCATTTTTCCTTTTAGTGTCTGAATTTTGAAGCACAGTTTTGAGGTTTTGCTGACAGGACAAAGAAATTCAGACATTCACACGCCTTCTCCAGAAAATACTACATAACCTTTCTTTTAATTCTTTAACATAGAAAAGTCATCTTGCTTTCCTTTTTCTCTTTTTTCTTTTGTTCAGTCATTCGGTTCACAAAACAACTGACAGGGAGCCTTGAATATTTGTTGTTGTAGTTGCTGATGTTTCATCAGCATAACTTGACTTTTCCGAAAACAAAAGGCAAGAAATATTTTCTAGAGTGTCTTAAAGCTAGGAAGCCATAACTTCCGCCCAATGTAAACAAAGGCTGTTCTGCACTATCTGTACACGATATATACCACATCACGGATTCATGTGAATTCAGTAAGTCTGGAGTTTTACTTGAGTCAGAATAAATAAAATGCAACTAGAAAAAGAAAAGTACTCGAAGAAGAAGAATCCCGTTTTTAAAAGCTAAGCTCCCGAAGCTCCTGGCATCGATCAGCCTAAGACAGGAGAAAGCCCTGGATCTAAGTATAGAGAAAGTCTAGAAGATAAGGAGGTCGTATAAATTGTGAAGAATTGAAGGGGGTGAGGGAGGCGGGAAGAGGAGGAGACAGAGCTGTGAAGGGGACAGTCTGGCTTTTTTCTGTGGGGCCTGGGTATTTAGCACTTCATTTTATTGATTCTTTCAGACAGTCAGTCAACATACTCATTTCTGTTAAAATTTATTCAGCATCTTTCATATGCCATCTCTGAGACAAGCTCTTGCTATAGGTGACAAGTATTTCATTTCCTGATCTCCACTGAAACAGGCAAACAGCAAGAAAACAACTTCCTTTTAAACAGAATTTATGATCTGGAAGTACATTCCCAAGAGTTCAGCTGTTTAAAAACCACCCGCACACCAAATAATCACTTGAAAAGTCCTCTGTCAGAGCTACAAAATTCTACATCTAACTGCTAAAGAGCCCACTCAAAAAGGACTGCAGGGCTCCTCCTCCCAAAGCATCCTTGACTGCCTTCCAAACCGGAAAGGTCCTCACATTCCTAGATACAAGCTTTGCAAGAGCCCGCACACTCTGTCTCTGAAGGGAAACCCTCAGATGGGTTGCCAAACCCTACAAAAGGGTCACTGGTTCCCAACTTCCCCAGGATCCCAGAGAGGACAGAGGGGCCTCCACAGGGAGAAAAGCTGCGCAGAGAGGACCAGAGCCAGTAGCTGTGAGCCCCAAGGCTTCTACATTCCTGTTGTCAGGGAGAGGAAAGCCAGACCCCTCAGCAGACACCAGGCGGGAGGAGGCCTAGTGTCCTTTCCAGGTATAGACCGTCACCAATCAATGTGGATTTGACACTCATGAGAGCCAGGCTGATGGATACCAACTATGCTCCTGGAAGAGGCTCTCATTTAATTTATTTAATTAATTGAATCTGGTAAAAAAAAAAAAAAATCAGGATTGTACCATCCATATCCTCAAGGGGTTTGCCTATACCGGCTTAGAAAAATTAAAAGACAAATTAAGTAGAATGACTTTTACAGAGGTCACAAAGTTCTCCTGTCTCCTTTAGGGTCACCTGCCCTCTAAAATTGTAAGACTGCTGACCTCTGGCCTCTCTTGTTTAGTGTGAACATGAACCTCCATTCCATAGTGTAATTCTCCACCTTGTATGGCTTGTAAAGCATTGTCACATGCATGAGTTTGCCTCATTCATTCTCTACTCTAAATCCCACAGATACTTCATGTTCAAAGATACATGCTCAGTGGTATCCCATCCCTATTACACCCTTTCTGACTCTTGACCTTCAGGAAAAACTTCCGCTTGTTTTAATTTCTACGTGTGTCTCTATTTTCTATGTCTGCACAACTATATCTAGACTCATGCTAAACTTATTCAGATGAACTGTAGACTTCTCTTCTGGACTTCACCTCCAGAAATCAAGGAACTACAACAAGGTTCTGCTTTTACCTCTCGTTTTCTGCGTGGTATTCAACCCTCATGGTCAATGACTATCATCTTTTGTATCAGTCAACATGCCTTAGCCCTAGCTGAAGCCGCTATTGCTCAACCTTCCACTCATGTGTCTTGCATTACTGTCCTGTGATTCTTTCACCTATTTCTCTAGCTTCTCTATTTCGGGGCTCTCAGCCTTCTTTCTGGACAGGCTCCAACTCAGGATAATCCCTCCTGCTATCTCATTCTTGATATTCATTCTTTCAGTCCTGACTACCCAACTTGAATTCTGGGTCGACAGAACATTTTCCACACCACACAGATCTACGCTATCAAGTTCTCTATAACCCTTGCCCCTAAAATGGCAACCAAATAAATACTCTTCCCTTAACAACAAGCAAACAAGCAAACAAACAAAAACAGCTGGTCTCCACATCTCCTGTCAATAAGCTCTTTGGAGGTCAACACCATGATTTTATTGCTCTATGAAGTACCTATGAAAAATCAAGAAATCTCAGATGGATTGAATTGATAAACACTATTAGTTCACATTTTTTTCAAATGCTATTATATACCTTGACAGTCCTGTATTATCAGACACAACGTCCCCATACCCAACATAATATCCATGAAGACAAAGTGCATCAACCAAAATTGTTCTAAATAGTAAACATGCCAATCCTCTGATACCTTCATATATCCAGTAATTTTGAAATACAAAGTTAGAATGCCAAGATTTAAGAAAGAATTCACACAATCCTTCAAGCAGAGTAGATAATCATTTGCCAAAATCTATCTCCAAAACAAGAACCCAAGTCCCAGGGCTCTTTAAAGTCTTCAGAAGAACCTTCCACATGAGTAAGTGAAATAAAAACCCTCTATCCAAACAGAATGCTCTCCTTTCTCAATGAAACAAATTCAGAAGACAATTCAGCATATGATGATGTCTGAATGAGTTTAATTAGAAAACTGAGAGATGGAAAAAAAAAGAAATTAAAAAAAAGAAAACTGAGAGATGGAATCTGCAAATCTTTTCCTACTCTAACTACCCACCCCCCACAAAAAAGGACCAGATCAACATTATAACACAAAAGCTTTTGTATTTATAATAGCATTCTTATGCAAGGGTCTTATATCACGGGAT